CTTGATCTACATCTAAAGGAGAATGTGCCTCCTTCGCTGCTGCTGCTTTCTCGTGCCTTGTACTTGATAGACGTGAAGCCGAAACCTGCTCAGGTGTCGCAGAATGAGGTGAGTGGGCTGCAGAGCAGCAGGTAGCCTCTGGACGTGGTCCCAGTTAAAATCTTTCAGCAGGGTCAAAGGATTTAGCTGCACACCAAGCGTCCGTCACACCCGGCACGTGTCCTGCCAGACACTCGCTCTGACACAGCGGGTTGACGTAGTGACTAGCTGGTGCGTGGGGACCTGTACCAACTGGGTGACCTCAAGTCAAGCGGGACATTTCCCAGCTGCCTCTGTAGAGATAGTGATGGATGGGGGTTCACGCTGCTTATCTGCATTTTTATGGCTGCCCTAATAAATTAGTCACCATGCTGGAAGCTAACAAACTTGGTGATGAAACATCTAATGTTGTACAGGGCTCCCATCCCGTGAAAAACTTGAGGGCTCAGCTTAGATACTGGAAACAGCAGCACAGCTTGAACCACTGTGGTCCAGGATGGCCATGGATGTTGCTGAAATACAGAGCTCCAGCACCATGGTTGCTGGGAGCAGAGCCTGCAGGGCTGCTGTAGCCAGGGGACCAGGGACAGCAGTGCCAAGTGGCTGAAGAGGAGGCCAGTAGGGAAGTGCCGCCCCCCAATGTTCCCTGGTCCGTTAAACTCTCTTGTCCGGGACCAGGGAGGTCCTACCTGTATTGGCTTCAAAAGTGCCAGTTACCAAGGTTCTCATGAGCCCCGGTCATGGACCTGTGCCCCATGGTGCTGTATTGACCCAGAACAAATCAACCCAACAGTCCCTGCCCCAAAGAGATTACCATGGAAGGAAAAGCTGAGAGAACAGCTGAACGCAGACAGACCGATGGGCTGGTACCAGGCAACGGACACACAGAATTGGTCCGCCTCCTCGGCGGTGCTCTCAGCACAGCTGCTGTCTCGCTGTTAGTCCAGTACTTCCTCCAGTGGCGTGTTCGTATGCTCGGTTTGGGGGTTAATAGAACTTGCAAGCCGACAGCCTGAGGCTTGGTCTTTCCCGTGAACATGTCCATGTGGGCTGCTTGGAGTGACTAAGTAATTGACCTGAGACCTGCTTTGCAGAGGTGCGTCCCGCTCACTGCTTCAGTTGGCTGTAGGTGGAGGTGAAGTGTGCTGAGCTTCACTGAAGATCTATCCTTCTGTTACTCCAGGGGCTTAGTCATCCCACATCTGCCCAGCCCCTGGCGTGCTTGAGATGCTCCTGCAGTATAAATCCTAGTGCGAAGCGTCTGTCCATTATGCAAACTGGACATGCTTCTGCCCGGACAAGTCAGATGCGTAAGCGAGCACTTTTTTGCTTGCCTTTTCCTTATTAATGTTCTAATTGTTGCCTAAAAGCAGACTTGGATGGAGATTGGACCTAAACAGTGTAGGAATCATGGGGCTAAGGAACTCCGCTTTTGCCTCTCTACTCACTGGCTTGGGGCGGGAGTCTGTGTAAAATACAAACAGCCATATTGAGCTGTTTCTTCTTTCCTCAGGTTCGGGTTAGTGAGGCTGCCGCAGAAGCACCAGTGTGCGAAGCTAAAGAAACCTTAGTGGATTCTGCACCCCTTGTGCAAGGAAGAAAGGTGAGGAAATGACGCTTTGCAAATGAGCAGGGCTCGACAAATTATGGGAAACCCTACTAGCCAGACAAAAGGGACTCGCCACCCTCCTCAAGTGGTTTTTTTTTTTTATGGCATAAATTCCTAAAAAGAATAAGAACAATAATTACTAATAGATTATTAATAAATATCTTATAAACCTACCTTTTCCCTCTGCTGCCATGTCTCCTCCCCTTGCTTCATCAGCTCCCCTGGTGCCTGCTGCCCCCCCACTCCTCACCCTCCTCTGCTGTCCTGACTCCTGCTCTACTCACTGCCCTCAGACCTCCTGCGACCTGCCCCCCTCCACCAGTCCTTCATTCCCCCCTGTGCCCACTCCTCCAGTAGCCCCACTGTGATCAAGTGAGCCTCCTCATTCTCTTTTCCAACACCTCTGTCTACACACCTGCCCTGCCTTTCTCCTCTGGTGCTGGTCCCTCCCCTGCAGGTGTCTGCCCTTCTGCTTCACCCCAGAATCCCCTGGCACCTGCACCTTCCCTTAGCCCTGCACCCTCGTGGTGCCTCCTCCTTCCCTTACTGCCCCTGCCCCCTTTGCCTTCTTTTTCCCTGATGCCCACCCCCTCACCACTTTCTGCCCCGTTCCCCTCCTGACCCTCTGTGCCCTCACACATGACTTGCTCCATCCCCACCTTTCTCATGCCCACCCCTTCTTTCAAGCCTTCT